CTTGCTATTTTTGATAGTATTTAGTGTCAGACATATATATACAATGTAAATAGATATTAAAATGTTTAAGAACAAAATATTATTGTTCCTCATATTATACATGTTTATGCACAATCACGTAGAAATTTGTCAACATTTGTTAAAGTAAACTATTTAAGAATATCCAAATGATACTATTCAATTGTTTTTATGAATATTTGAAATAATTATGAAAAAAGTGCCAATAGTAGATAAATCCTCTTTAAAGTGTTTAAAGAGAGTCATTTGATAATTTTGTTATGATCACTTATTTTTTCTAGTGTTTTTTTTTTTGTTTGTTTGTTTGTTTGTTTGTTTGTTTGGTGTTGTTTTTTTTTTGTATTTTTTTTCTTACAATATGGTACTGTTATGCATGTTGATTAACATATACAAAACATGCAAGAAACGCATCTCTCGAAATCTTTTGAAATATTGGAAATTAATTTGTTACAACAATTTAATGTTTAAGTGCAAAACATCAAACTTATGATTATATATTTTGTACACCCCATATATACAAATGTACACACACTTAGCATATTTATGATATTTAATGTATGACCTACATATAATTAGATATATAGACATATGACATGGTATATGGCCCAGTATAGACGTTTATATGCTTATATAACCGTATCCGCATGGCGAGAGTTACATAACAAACGGTCATTTATACAACGTTATATAACATGTCAAATGTCTGTATACCAAACTGATAATACTGCACAAAATGCTTTCAACATACAAAAAAGGGAAAGATTCCATAATTTTGCAACGTCCGTTTATAAAAGTAATATAAACGTTGCGATTATCCAATGAAAATCAAACGTAACATAAGGGCAGTATTTTATTAAGATACACGAAATGTGTCAAACTATTCTATACATTACTGAACACGATGATGAAAGATTATATTGTTATATTTATTTTGTATTTCTTTCTTTTCATGCAGTTTTCAATAAATATTGTTCACCAAACAGTGTTCTTGACTTTGATTTTGTTAACATCAAACGTTTATCCAGTTTCCGTTTTGTAGTTTGATCTCAATTGAGGAAACTGTATTTGATAAATATAAAATGTAAGGCTCTTGGCTTACGATATAAGACACTAGACTACGCCATTCACTTCAAGGTCAGTGAACACAAAATGTTCGTGCTAAATGATGACAAAACTCAATGAACCGTTTAACTATAAACTGCTTAACAGTTTAACTATTATCTAAAGTTGGCATATAGTGAGGTATCCCTAGAACTGTACTTTAGGAACTGATTGTGTACAAAAAGATCGAATTGTCAAAATATAACTCCACCATAAAACTCTTCGTATTTAGTAACTGAAGAAATAATGATAGAAAGAAAAATATTATATTCTTAAATGTTTGGCAAATATCATTGCTTAATATGTATTTCACTTCTACAAAAAAAGATATTGGTCAAATATAGCACATCAGACGGGTCAATTCTGTGACATTGATTTGTACAGATTTTTATTTCCGTATCTCAAGCTGAAACAATTCTGGACTAACTTCCAGGAAAAGACAAAGGAGGAAAATTTATAAGAAATTAATAACAATAAGCGAATGATGTATGTTTTATTACCAATAAACATTTTAATGTGTTCTAAAGGAATAAACCTGTAAACCAAAATCAACACTCATGTTCATTTAACCAAAATAAATGCCAGTAAGAAATTTGTTCGAGCTGGAGATTTCTGTTATACCCATAAACGGTAAAATTTAGTTGTTACCGTAATCTTATGGTCAATTCTGAAAAAAATTGTAAGAAAGAGTGTCTATGTTATTTAACACACATGAATATTGTACGTAAATAGAATAAAAAGTACCGGAACAAAATATTATGCAGCTATTTTAAGTAGGCAGAACAGAACAGAATTTATTGATTTAGGCCACCAGCCCATAACATGTACAACTGTAACATTGAAAAGATACAAAGTTATGTGGATACACTCATAAATACATAATAACAATTCAAACAAAGTACATAGTTGAAGATGAAATATAGACGTAATGTATCTAAATCAAAACTGCATAATCATCTTTTTTTTTTCGAATTGTTGCATGATAAACATAATTGGCAAGACTTTTTATAACATTTTCATTTTTACACGATAATAATATATTCAATTTGTGCTCTGTTGCACAAGTATAATATTTCTTAGCAATATAGTTTGCTCTTAAATCTGCATATACAGGACAGACTAGTAGAAAGTGAAATTCATTTTCAAATAATCCTAAGGAACATACTTTACAATTCCAATCATTCGAGTTAATCTTGCTATATGACTTTTTAATCACTTCTAAATGTGAAAGCCCTGAACGTAATTGAGCGTAGCAATGTCTGAATTTCCTGATATTTAAAATAGGTATATAAGTTTCTTAGTCATAATTGTTTTAATACGATTATACAATGAGAGACAATCACTAGAATCTAACTTGCTATACCATCCTTGCAAATAATTATCTTTAAGTCTTTGACAAAACAAATGGAGAAACAATCTTTCATTTTGAACTCCTTGGTTCAACAAAACGCCCAAACCCATTACTACATAAAAGATGTTCAATTTCATTTGCCCAATTAAAATATTTTGCACATGTTGTACTTGAAAGCATTCTATAACAATTTTTTACATATCTGTCATTAGGTAATTTCAATAATTTGAACCAGTACTTTATACAACGCATGGCAGATTCTACATAAATTGGATAACGACCACAATCGCCTAATACTACATTATTGCTAGATGTTCTATTTACGCATAAAAATCGTTTAGATGCTAAACGATGAATAAGCTCACAATTATCACAGGGTTTAAAACCCCATAATTCGGATCCATACAGAAGGATTGGTAAAATTTTGGAATCAAATAATTTAAAAAATACATTTGAAGGTAATTGTCCATAATCATACAAAAAGAAGAAAGTAAAGAAAATAATACTCGTTAAGTATGTTTATCACCGTTAAGCAATTGTTTCATATATGCGCCATATACACGTACTTCAATATTTCTTCCAAACTAGCATTTTAGACCGTAAGATGTATTCTTTTAAAAAATTCAAACAATTTATACACTTTAAGGGATATTGTAAGCGATTCGTGAGTCAGTCAAAACAATATCTGTCCCATTTATAGATATGAGGTAACGACTTTCAATCTGTGATTTTACCAACACGAATCAGTGTTACAATTATGAAACAAAAACATTTTTACATAATACACAGCTCAAGATATAATATTTTACGTACATTTACCAAACATATCGTAACTTTTAAAAGATGTAAGTTATAACTATTGCAAAATATCTGCATTGAACGTAAATAATGTACCATAAAATGCAAAAGTTCGAAGTTCTTATCATTATACCTACAAAAACAGCGATTTTAACGAAAATAAGGGAAAAAATAGATTTTTACAAAAATGCATATCTTTTATGAATCAAGCATGTCAAATAAGGACAGTGAATATGACAGTTATGAATATATTTATCCTGACGACATGAAGGAGAACACATAGTCTTCAATTTATAGAAGACATTCAACTTTTTTTCTATAAATACAAGATTTATTTTAATCGAGTAGTATGAAAATAAATATTTCATGAGTGGCGGTAACCGCGAGTGAAATATGATAATTTTCATAACACAAGCTGGAAATAAATCCTGTATTTATAGAAAAACCTTGAATGTCCTGTTTATTATATACATTTTTATATATTATACAGACTTTAAAAGACTTTCCCTCAAAGTTTGTGTTTTGGTTGAATTTAGAAGAAAGTAGTCCGGCAAGACACCAGTGAAAATACAGAAAGTATATTTCACTGTGCAGTGAAAAATGAATCTTTACAGTGAAAATACGGAAAATAAAATACGCATTTTAATTCATCAATATTTCGCAATATGTCATTTATAAGTATATAATGAACATACTTTTGACTAATTTTAAAAACACAAAATTTGGCTTTGATACTAATCCATTTATACAGAATCACAAGCATGTAATCGTTAATGGTCTCTCGATAGTATCACATAGTTGCATTTTACAATCAAATAGGATAATCCCCAATTTTAAGAGCATCCCTAGTTATTATATTGTTCGACAACTGATGACAATTAGCTCTAAATGAATGTTTAGAATATCTATCGTCATTAATTTTAATATAACAAATGAGTGAAATTCTTACTAAAAAGCTATATACATATTAAATCAAAAGAACATGAAAATACTGAACAACCGAACAAAACCGAACTAGCTAATAAGTATGTATTTTATCACATACTGTACCCGTTCCGCTTTTGTGTTCTGTAAATATTTAAAACAATACCACAGACACTTGGGGTTTGGAGCTCAATACGCCTTTAAAATCCAAATAAAATGCATATTTGTCAATCCCAGCACATGTACTGATCATATATATATATAAAAAGAGACTTAATATAAGCCGTTTTGAAATGTGAATTTTTTTCAAAACGGCTTATATTAAGTTTTTTGATATATATGATCAGTACATGTGCTGGGATTGACAAATATGCATTTTATTTGGATTTTAAAGGCGTATTGAGCTCCAAACCCCAAGTGTCTGTGAACAATACTGAATGTAGGGAATATTTCACTTATGTGTTATTCTGGTGTGTTGTATTGCTCGATTTTATTATGTGAAGAGACCGTGGAGCAGTTTACCACATAAACTACGACCCAGGAGGATCGCATACTCTAATTTTATTCAACTCGTTCAATAAATTCAATTATGAACTTACACGAATTTAATATTCTATTTATCACATACCCAAAATGAAGACAGTTTGAAGTGAAAAAGTTCCATTTATCATTGACGCGCCTATATATAGTTTAACGCTAACATTTATCGTCTCGGGACGCTCTAGGATGACCCGACTTGAGTGTACGGTCGCCCATATGGGCTTTCCGGCGGCGACCTTAAATAAACGCATATAAAAAAAAAAAAATTTATCGTCTCTTAACGCTATGTTTGTATAACACAAATGACGTCACGCCACATATATGCTCGGTCGTGCAATAACATTTTACGGATTCGCAATTTAAGCGGCACAGGTGTGTGATAAAATCATGTAATTAAACGATATTACATTTTTTCATAGTGTAATAACACTTTGACTTGACGTCATTTATGTTATATACAAACAACGTTATAAAGCGCGCTACTGTTGGCGTGACACAATAGGCGCGTCAACGAAAAATGACTTTTTTTATCTTTGTTTTATTTTGAATTTGTGATAAATATAATATCATATTCGTGAAGATTCAATACCAAATTTATTGAACTTGTTCAATAAATTCAGTATTAAACCTACTCATACAATATTTTCTATTTATGATATCAACGAAAATAGAATAGCACATTCATGAATATTTTCCATTATCATATGGTAAAATGTGTAACATAAATTTGAATGAAACAAAATGATTTTTTCCCTTCGATAAAATGCACACCTAGTTAGTGTACGTAATGTTTTTTGTTCAACATTCGTGAAACTGTACAGAATGTTCAACAAGAACAAGGTGACGTCATTATTTGAAGACGTCATGAATGAGAGCGCATGTCGTTACGCGGAAGACACATGTAAAAAGTTATTGAAAACCCCTTTAAAATATACTATTAGTTAAGAGTTATAGTTAAGAGTCATAAGTTAAGTTACTCTTAACTTATAGTATATTTTTAAAGGGGGTCATATTTTACATTTTTTTTTGTTTCTTGACACATTTAAGATGAACGAAGGTTTTTTTTTCCAATCTGATGGTCATATTTTTTCTTCCCAGGTCCGATACTCGTGCTTGTGCTTTATCACATATCCTTGCCGCTTTTGCGACTCCGTAAATTTAAAAATGTGGTTCTTCGGACTGTACTGGGTATGAGATGAATAGAATAGTATAGATCTATTCGTGTAGCTTCATTACTAGATTTATTGAACCAGGTTCAATAATTTCAGTATTGAATTAGATCTACAAGACAATCAATACCTTCTATTTATTAAAAAATGGGCAACAATATTTCACCTTCACGCATTAAAATAATTATAACAAATCTACATAAACTCTATGGCGTAAGGTATAACAGCGTGCTGGTCGTGTCACGTAAAAATGACGCCAGTAAGCGTCAATATCTTTTCACAAAGAAAACGTTTCAAGCCAATGGCGTTATTGTTTTTTACTCTGCCTGATTGCCTCATGACAACTATACGCCTTATCCTTTTATTCTTGTTTATTTCGTACACCAAAGCACACAATCCTAAGAGCAGAACAGTTGAAATAAAATTCGGTCAAAGGCATGATTGTTGCAAAGGTTTTGCATCCTTACACATGTATGATCATGAACTATACTTAAAAATCTTAAAAAGTCAAATACATTAAAACACGAAATTATCTCCCCCCCCCCCAACCACGAGTGTTTTAGCGTTAATGACGTGAATGTCCTTTGAATAAGGTCATAAATATCGGAGACAGCCTTTCACTAACAAGCTGTTCTGAATTTCTTCATTTTTTTTTGTTTACAAAGAAAGACATGTGGTGAATAAGTTTTATAATATATATGTCGCATTGCACTGAATGTTCGTGTAACTGATTTTAGGACTTTTACCTCCTTTGTTACTGACCAATATCTTAAATTTAGCTAGATATTGGCCCCACTTTACCCTCCTAAATTCACATTGTTTTGTTTCTTTAATCACATAAAACACGAATCACTTCCCTCAGGTCCGGATTGTCAATACCTGTAATACAAACAGCATGTTATACATACTACCTTTATCACTAGACAACTCTTTTACACCGTCAATCAAGGTTTTGTACATGCGAGTTATATAAAGTAATTCCAGTGACCATTTCGACTTCAAATAGTATGAAATGATAAAGCAAAATCGTATAACCTTAGCGAATGACAATTACAATTACTGATCAGAATTAATATAAATCATCACAACCATCACAATAGTTTAGTGGGGCCTCCGTGGCCGAGTGGTTAAGGTCGCTGACTTGAGATCACAGGTTCCTCACCGCTGATCCTCACTCGGGTCGAAATCTTTCATGTGATGAAGCCATCCAGCTGGCTTACGGAAGGTGGATGGTTCTACCCAGGTGCCCGCTCGAGCCTGAAATAATGCCCGAAGGTCTTCCTCCACCAATAAAGAAAAAATCTCGGCGGGACGCTCTAGGATGGCCCGACTTGAGTGTACGGTCGCCCATATGTGTTTTCCCGCGGCGACCTTAAATAAACGCATTAAAAAAAAAACAAAAAAAAAAAAAAAAAAAAAAACAATAGTTTAATCTCAGGACGTTCGCCCCCTACTTTAAAATAGATCACTGGCCCTTTGGACCCCCCAGCCTCCCACAGTGGAAATATTAAGACGGGCATTCTATTTGTCAAACGTCAAATGATTATTTTTTTAACTTGGGACTGAGTTCATTGGGGGCAAATGTCCCAGATTAATAAATTTCCTAAATACCCAAGCTGTTAAGATGACGACGTGCATAATTGAAATTAGCATCACTGAAACCCATCTTGAGGAGTTCTTCCCTAGTTTCTTCTAAATGTCCTACACGATTTTGATCCTTCTCGTGTGTTGCATACTCCTGTGATTTATATATAACTTTGCAATGGCATCGATGAACTTATAATTGAAGTTGTAATATATACATGCAGTTGGTTGTTAAAAAAAATGAAATCACTTTTTAAACAATCGTACATGCAATATTACACAAATCTATTTTCATATTATCATAAAAGTGAATCTTCCAGCAGGACGAACAGTATTTGAAATAATGTGTTTGCGCTCAGACTCTTAATCCTTTAAAAATTATTCATTAGTTTATTAATTGAGTCTCGTGCATTCTATGACATGATATACGCGCATGACAATGGTAACAATACATATTTGCTTGGCAACTAAATATAACCAAAAGCAACACATAAATACCGCATTGGCAGTCGATTGTATCCATGCAATAAAGTTATCTCCTTTTTGCGTCTTTACATGCATGCACAGGGGATAAAATCGAGCATGCTCGCCCCATACGTCGTCATTGGCGTCCCACTTACACATTTTCCCGCCGCAATGGAAGCATCGGACTAAGTCGTGAAGACCTTAAAACAATTTTTTTTTGAGAAATAAAAAAAGCGTAGATAGGAAAAATTATGAGAGAAAGCGATTATTTCCTTGACACATCAATTAATATAGAAACTATGTCAGCATAAAAGGCTACATTAGAAATATTTTATTTACTAAGTTGTATCGGTATTAGGTGTCCACGCGATACATGTATTACGTGTTGATCCGTTTTAAACGGTAACTTATGCATGACCGAGCCTATAGACGATGGTTGCATTTCAATTTTCTACCATTTATAAATGTTATAATATACTAGTATAACGAATTTATTGAACAATAAAATTCCCATATTTAAAGAAAATGAAAATTACTTTTTTTATATAAAAATTAAAAGCAGTCGTATATAAAGTTTATATAAATTTCAATGTGACAAACATGCACTAATTATAAAGGAAACTTGTTTCGTTTGATCTACTTATTAGCTCAGTGTGCATATTATGCAAAATATAAGAACAAAAGGGTTACATTGTATATAAATTTATGAACCATACACAATTTATAAATCATACAAAGTCACAATGACGAATAGCACACAATAAAAGGACAGCTAGATGTGCATTAAAAAAGAGAAGCAGAAAAATACGTTTTGTGAATATTATTCATTGTTCAAAGTAACAGTATTGGTACAAAAATAAAATTTTATTATTTTATTACAAAATATTAGTGTAGAAATAAGTCTTCAAGTTATGAGAAATTCAAAAAGAAAATTCAGTGCTATGTATGGTGACTGATTTGGTACGCTTAATGTGCGTTGCGTTGGCGCTAACGACAACACGACAAAACTCCAAACGGCGCGTTGTTTCGCTGTCGTCTTGTCGTCCTGTCTAGCGCGGCACGCCAAAAAGCGCGTTGTCATGCGTCGTGTTGCACATGCTCGCCCATATGGTCTCTTTCCGGTGACGAGGGTAAACAAACGCAAACACAAAAGTCGTGTTGTCGCGATGTCACATTGTCGCTTGGTTTAAATTGAAGGATTGGCTTATAAGCCAAGCGACAAGGCGTCATCGTGACAACGCGTAGTTTGGCGTGCCGCGCTAGAGACAGGACGAAAGCGCAACAACGCGCCGTTTGTCGCGTTGACGCTTACGACAGGACGACAAGACGAAAGTCTGACAACGCGCCGTTTGGCGCTTTGTCGTGTTGCCGCTAGCGCCAACTAGACGCACAAAAGCGTACCAAATCAGCCACCACAGCTAGGTTTTTTTTTGAAGTGGTCATGAATATACAATGTAATTATAAACAGTGCTCTTGGGAGTTATTAATCACATAACAGTGTCGATTTTGCTATTCTGTAAAAATAGTATTTTGACGTGACGTGATTTGCGTTATGCAAACATAGTGTAAAGACACGCTAAATGTTAGCGTTACACTATAGGCGTGTCAGTGAAAAAGATTATTTTAAAGTTAAAGACGCGCTAAATGTTAGCGTAACACAAAAGCGCATGAAAATGATTATTTTGCACTTTAAACAGTCTTTGTTTTGGGTATGTGATGAAAAGAATACTATATTTGTGTAGGTTCGTCACTGAATATATTGAATTCCTTGAATAAAATAATATTTTGCTCACCAGAGGCTTGCATAATATAATTTATTCAACTCGTTCAATAAATTCAGTATTGAGCATACGCTCATTTTATATCCCTTATTTGGGGTGTTTTGTCACTTACCCGTATAAAAAAGACCAGCTTCAGCCATTTCTTCTTTGGTCTGTCGGATCTGTTTCGGCCAGTGTTTGAATGAAGACAGTCTTGCCTCGTATGTTTTGTAATTCAAATAGTAGGGTGGATTGCCTTTTTCCTGTTTACCTGTTAAAACATAAGTTCTGATTTACCTGTCAATCAACTTTATTTGGTAGGTCAAAAAAGCATTTTCGGCGATATGTCTTCTTTATCAACAATTAATGATACTTGTAAATGATATAGATTTAATTAATGCATTGTATTTAGATATAAAGTGTCATATGCACTAGGTAACTTTACTATGTTTTATCTTAAAAATTCTCTGTTGTCAAAATAGTTCGCGACATGAGTTTTTCTGTCTTATATAAATGAAAAGAATTACTCACGTCCTTGGCGGTCATGCGTGTGCTCCTAAAACATAAAAAATTATGTAGTTTAGTTTGTTTTTTAAATTTAGAATTAAAATACTTTCATTTTGATTTATCTTCTATCAAAACCATGATATATGCTAAGCTCTTTGAGATTTATTCACATTTTTACCGACGGTCATGAAAATATATAACATTTGAGGGACACAGCTTTTGAAAATTGAAAACACGACGTCATTATGAGGCCATAAATGTGGGTTACTAATATTTAAAATACCTTAATGTTAAGATTAGTCGCTACATGATCTTATGACAGATGAGTTGCGTAAATAATGCTTAAAAAATCAGATTTGTACTAATTAAATTAACTTACTCCTGAACCAGATGTGTTTGAGGCATTTTTTATGTTTCGATAGTTGGACGTGTTTAAAGGTGATGGACTTTGTCTTAGGTATGTATCATTTGTCCCCAATACAGAAGATGGTATCAGTGATTTAGTCTGTCGTTTCGGTTTTGCAGACGCACATACGGCTGACTGTTGTCGACCAATTTCTGCTTCGACATCCGTTGCAGTGTGTTGTTGCATATACATATGATTACCATCGCTATCCGAAAACTGAGTTAAATTTTTCTCCGAATTCTCATCTCTTTTCTTCATGGGTTTACCTGTTGCATAATTTGCAAATTTCTTCTCCATTTTAAACGACTAAATATACACTATTTAAAATAATTGAAGAAATCACATTATTTAAAACGTTTAAAATCTGTTTGAAATATTGAACAACAAACACCACATAATTATACTTTGATAAACAATACATTCAGTGTATCACATCAGCTTTTGTTTTGTTTTTAAACTACAAAGTATTGACGTCGGCGAATATGAGCACCCCTGTCTATTGTCCTGCTGTTTAACATCGGATGTGTAGCATCTGTTCTACTTGTATATTGATGGCAAGCATTAGCCTCAAATATGTTTGTTGGAACGAAATGTTGCGCTGCTTTTAAATAGCGGTGACAAAAGGAAACAATATAGGTAATAACAAGCTGTTTTGATTGCGAAACTAACGTTATGTGTTTAGAATTACACTTTGATTTTGAAGGCACCATAGATCCCATGGTAAAAATGACGTTTGGAATACATTGCATGTAATAGTTTTGGTCCTTGCTGTATTCTACGTAGTGTCTATCTGGAACATATGATGAACATTGCATTATTCATATTCTTAAAGTTATACTATGCTTATTTTTGAGTAAAATATTTTAATTACATGAATTTATTTATAATAATAAATCTATGAAATTATTACTGAATAATTATGTCTAATTTGAAAAAAAAGAATAAAGAAACTACACATGAGAAGCAATGTTCCCAATCACGGGACAAGTAAAGTTGGCACTTTCTTTTAAAAAAAAAACTGTCAGTTTTCTTTAATGACACCATAATTATATTCCTATTGTGCGTAGGAATTTAAACATGGCATATCTACTTTAGTTGGAGGCAAACGTGTTTATTTTATATATACAAACATACTGTGTAGCAATTATCAATACTAGTATTTTCTAATATCAAATTTTAATAGTGTATCTTTTAAAATACCGGCACAAACTTGCACGCATATACATCTTCGTGCATATGAATTAGTATAAATGACAAAGTTTTTGCTGTTTGTTTTTATGCCAGGTATTAACCCTGAACACTTTTAACATTAAAAGTTTTTAAAATTTACACACAAATAAATACGACGCACCGCAATATTAGAAGAAAATAATCAGCTAGTAACTGAATAAAAATACAACTCTGAAATATTTTACATACAACATTGACTGATTATGACATTTTGAAAATGAATAATGTGTTGCTTGAGCTGGGTGTTATGATTTGAACAAATAGATGGAAGTCAATAAAAATCACCAAATAATTGGGGTTTCTAAGAATAAGATTTTGAAAGCCTTTCTTACATGTATATGTAAAATCTAGTGTAACCCCGGGGAAGGGCAAACTTTGATCTCAGGGTCAATGAATCTTGAGTTGCAAGCAACACGCACTGTGCATCTTGAAAAAAGTATTCATTTTCAAATAACACAATGCAATCAAACAAAACTGGCATTTAAATAAACTGTCAATTAGCGTAATGATCAGCACTTATAGCTATAAACATGTATATATACACATGTACATGTATTAAGGGGAAAGTTTCACTCTGATTTGTCACATTTCGGATCATCTAATTAAACAAAATCAAAGTAAGGGCAAAGCATTAACACACGTTTAAAACTACATTTTATATATTTCTAAAAAAAGGTTTTAAATACGTTTTTAATCAGACAAAACAAACCTTTTTGTGAATTCCAATGTTCTTATTTTTGACACGGACGGTCGGGAGATTTAATACTCCTTCTTTCGATTTCAGTTATTTCGTTTAATTTACTAGTTTGATGATGTCGTTAACTAACTCCAAATTTAGAAAGAAATAGCACCTTTAACAACTTCATCTCTCCACTTATGTTTAGCTTAAAGCGTTCAATTAGTAGAAATGTTGCAAATCTGCTGCAAATACAATTTTTCACGTGACATGTTTATAGATATTTTGAATCTTCTCTCATTGACATTAAAGATTAAATAAATTAATGATGTTTAATTTTACCCGAATACGAAGTCGTATCTGTAAAAAATAAATTCCTTTAAAATCGATCTAAAAAGATCATCCATTATCAAAAATGACGTCACCATTTCGTGCTATTTTAATGGAATCCCAGGTTTCGAATCATACAAGTTTCACACAAATACAATTTAGATCTAGTGTCAGTTTCAAATTAAGCATTAAACCGTAAAATTTTCACATTTTTATGCATTTTAAGTCAATTTTAACATGTAAAGAATGACACAAAACAAAAGAAGTTTAAAACGAAATAACCTGAACAAGGAAGTGTAACTAAGAGGGAGATAGTCAAGACAGCCGGGTCGTTCTGATCGATAATAGAATATATAAATAGATTTTAAATTACGTAGGCGGATCGATCCAGAGGCTGGTATGGGGTGTCATTATCTCTTACTTACAAAAGAATAAAGCAATATGATTTTCCTATGAATTGTCCTTCTTCACTTCACAGTTTATATTAACAAGTAAATGCTTCATGTTAATTTGTAGAAACAATTGTAACCTTTAGAGTATTTAAATATGTTATAAAGTCATTAACATTGTTTACCTCTAAATTTATATCTACAGTCTTACATGGTTTTTGTTAAACAATGTCTCAACAGTAGAAAATGGCTACACGACCATTCTCAATAAAATAAAGCATTTGAGGTTGGAAAATATTAAAAAATTTGATGTTGTCATTTTGTCATTTTTTATCGCTGAAGTAAAAGTTTAGGGTATTTTGCAAGTTTGCCAGAAATATTTTCAACAAGAAACTATAAAATAACAGGATGGCATTTATTTCGGTAATGACACTGCATTTCCTCGGTAACGTAGATTTCAGATCTAATAATGTAACATATTGGCTGCATATAGATAACAAATGTCTGTAAAATATATCAAAATCTGTAAATTCTCTATCTAGACGGACTTTCAACCCAGAAAAATTCAAGGAAGTTGGGTTCCTTGCTAATTTTCAGTTAATTTATTCAAAGTTAAATATTCGTAGAAAGCAAAAAGAGTCAATTTTGGAAAAGATTATTTATGTCTTCATTCAAAGGATATATATCATTTATAATATATGAGAGGACGAATGCATACACAAATGTTGTATTTAGGAACCTTTTCCTTCAAAAATTCAACTTTCCGATTTCTTCATATTTGGAAAATTTATTGCTAAGCAGTTCTATATTTATCCCCATATAGCATGTCACGTATGTTTCATTTTATTCAAATACAAGTAAAGGTTAAGAAAACAATTTTATTTTTTGTAAAATAATTTATATTTTTGGATATTATTTTAACATTATTATATATAGAATGAAATATGGCCAATAAGCTCTTTGCAGAAACAAATTAGTTGTTGTTGAGAACTTCAACAGTTTGTTGTATATTTTTAACATTTCTGCTAGTACATCAACATAATTATTATGAAAACATCTTTACTTTGCAAAAACACTTTTGTATTTTCTCACATCTAATACAAAGTAACCATGCTAATCCAAACTTTATCTTTAATATTCAAAAATTGTTGAATTGTAAGTTGGAGTAACGTATGTTTCACACTGGCCTATTTATGAACTTTATCACAGAATTGAAACTTACATGTAAAATCGACTTTTTTTTTATTTAGCAATCAAATGTACATCATTCTATTGTCATAAAAATGCGATTTTATGATTTAATATTTGCATGTGTTAACAATATAAAGTCTGTTTGATAAAAGTAACGTTTGTCTCACTATGGTTACTTAAACATGTTAAAACTCGACCAAAGTTAACAAAATTTACTTACTAATGTCATATTGAAGTTAATGTTGCTGTTATTTGTGCTTTCTGACTTCAATTTCCCTTTGGATAAAATTATTTTAAAAAGTTGGTAACGTATGTTTCTGTAACGTATGTTTCATTTTTACATTGAAAGTGGGTTGAAAAATGACACAAGAGCATATAACCCGCCACAATTTGTGGTTAATATATCAGAGTTACACACATGTTAATTTTCTTTCTTGTTTGGAGTCTTCCTTGAATGGATCAGCTCTTAAACAATGGTAAAGTATGTTTCTTTTAAAAATGCTGTTGAAAAGATTTGAATAAAAATTGAAAATTTCCGAAAACAGAATGATATTTCAGAGGCTGCAAGCTTATTTGTGATTATAATTATATATATATGCTGTATCATTAAGCATGCATCGATTCATTTATGTAATTTCTGTTTCGCTTCCAATTGTTTTAAGTTTGTCACTTTTTATTTATATGCATTTGGCAACATTTGATCATCCATTATATCAATGAGGTTTTATCAGTCAAATATAATTTTTACTAAATTAAATAATCAAAGTGCATATACACGCAGCAATGACAAATTGCACATGTTTCGTTTATTCTGGAACTTATTTTTCTGAAACACAATTTCAAAGTTGAAAATTCTAGGTGGCGACAGTAACGTATGTTACATTTTAGGGCATAATTGGTACTTGTAAAAGAAAAATACCAGATAAAAATGTAAAACTGAGAGAGTCCTTTTTAGACAAAGTGGCAGCCATCTTTCTAACGACATTTTGACCTCATGAAAAACCTTCGTATAGGAGCTACCCAGTAGAACATCAAATGCTGTGTTTTAATTATAATGTGAAAATGTGAAATGGTAATTAGGAAAACTTTCATATTTCAAAATAATGTACATTAAGAAAGTACACTTACGAGAATTTGTTACATATAATCCTTTAAATAATTCACTGAAGTATATGTAGATATCTCTCTGTCATGTTAAAGTTTTTATTAAAACCTCTACATTTCTTCATCATGAATCAGTGTTTTGCTGCAGTTGAAATATACATCAAAGTTAACTAAAACTTACATTTTATAAAGAGGAGGAAATACAGTAATCATCTTTAAAAAAGTTACATGTAAGCTTATACTGGCTATCATGAACTAGGAAAATATTCCCGAATCAAACAAAAAATGGCATTTAAATAAACTGCCATCTAACGTAATGATTAGCACATAACTATATGCATGTAAATACACATGTATATGTATTAAGGGGTTAAGGGGAAAGTTTCACTCTGATTTGTCTTATTACTGATCATCTAATTAAACAAAGCAATGTAGGAGCACATTTGTCTAGCATTGACACGCGCTTAAAACTACATTTTATAGATTAAAAAAAAGGGGGTTTTAAATTTGTTTTAGTCAGACAAATCAACAAAACAAACCTTTATTGTGAATTTCAATGTTCTTATTTTTGATCACAGTAATTAATGTGGTTAAAATGTTGTGTATTCCATCATGCTCTATAGTAAATTGTATCTACAACCATTTACAACAGCAGTGTTTGTGTTTGTTTATACCCCGGTCACATATTCACGGAATACGCCCACGGAAGAGCCACGGATTAATTCCGGCATCGTCCGTAGCTACCCGTACTGGTCTGTAGCTCTCCGTAATGTAACCGTAATCAATCGTAGTAGTCCTTGTATATCCGAAGCGATCCTTGACAATTTTTGAACATGCACAAAAATTTGCTACGGAAAAATCAACCGTAGCGTATCCCTACTAGTCCGTATTAAACCGTACTGATACGTACTGGTCGTACTAGTCCGTACTGATTCGTAGCCCTCAACCTGCTAAGGATTTCCACGGTTTGGTACGGAGAACTACGTATTTGTACGGTTACCCTACGTATAAGGTACGGTTTTTTTATACGGATTAATACGGCATTGTCACGGAAAGCTACGATCGTAATACGTTGTACTACGGAGAGGCAGGGATTAGCACGGTCCATACGGTTTATCGCGTTGCAACACGAAACGGTACGGAATGTTACGGTCCACCACTGTTTAGTACGGATAAACACGGATTTATATTTCATACGTGGGATAAATTAATAGTATCATGTGCTTTTTCAAGGGTATAAATACTACCGTCTTGTTAAAATAGACATATTTGCGTGAACATTCAATAAATGATAATTGCCATTTACTGGCTGCAAATTTATATTGAAATAGCTCAGAATGCATGAATGCGGAGGCAGTGGTCGAGCTGTTTGATGACATGCATAGAGGTTAAAATGTTTTAATATCGTACTACAATTCATAAGTAATAGAATAGCATTTAATGTTACATATTTTTCAAACATTAATTTAGATCGTGAAATTGGAGTTGCTGTATATGCTGTATCATTAAGCATGCATCGATTCATTTATGTAATTTCTGTTTCGCTTCCAATTGTTTTAGGTTTGTCACTTTTTATTTATATGCATTTGGCAACATTTGATCATCCATTATATCAATGAGGTTTTATCAGTCAAATATAATTTTTACTAAATTAAATAATCAAAGTGCATATACACGCAGCAATGACAAATTGCACATGTTTCGTTTATTCTGGAACTTATTTTTCTGAAACACAATTTCAAAGTTGAAAATTCTAGGTGGCGACAGTAACGTATGTTACATTTTAGGGCATAATTGGTATTTGTAAAAGAAAAATACCAGATAAAAATGTAAAACTGAGAGAGTCCTTTTTAGACAAAGTGGCAGCCATCTTTCTAACGACATTTTGACCTCATGAAAAACCTTCGTATAGGAGCTACCCAGTAGAACATCAAATGCTGTGTTTTAATTATAATGTGAAAATGTGAAATGGTAATTAGGAAAACTTTCATATTTCAAAATAATGTACATTAAGAAAGTACACTTACGAGAATTTGTTACATATAATCCTTTAAATAATTCACTGAAGTATATGTAGATATCTCTCTGTCATGTTAAAGTTTTTATTAAAACCTCTACATTTCTTCATCATGAATCAGTGTTTTGCTGCAGTTGAAATATACATCAAAGTTAACTAAAACTTACATTTTATAAAGAGGAGGAAATACAGTAACCATCTTTAAAAAAGTTACATGTAAGCTTATACTGGCTATCATGAACTAGGAAAATATTCCCGAATCAAACAAAAAATGGCATTTAAATAAACTGCCATCTAACGTAATGATTAGCACATAACTATATGCATGTAAATACACATGTATATGTATTAAGGGGTTAAGGGGAAAGTTTCACTCTGATTTGTCTTATTATTGATCATCTAATTAAACAAAGCAATGTAGGAGCACATTTGTCTAGCATTGACACGCGCTTAAAACTACATTTTATAGATTTAAAAAAAAGGGGGTTTTAAATTTGTTTTAGTCAGACAAATCAACAAAACAAA